CCCCCAACTCCCTCCGGCAACGCAATCAAAAGCCCGTGCTCAATCGCTCAGGCTCACGTTCTCCGTCTCTTCACTCCTCCCCCTCTTCTCTCCTCAGCTCCCCCCACCATCGCCCCTCTCTCACGTGCCGCGCGCATGCGCACAGCGTACACCGACACAAGTCGCAAGCCACCAACGCATGCAGCCACTGTGACATTTCCATCTATTCGCCCTTACAGGTTGTAAAGCTGCTCCTTGGTCTGGATGCCTGGGTGTTAGCGCGCTCAACGTCCCGATATCCGGCACGATCGCCTTCCCTCCCCACTCACCAAGCTCCTCAATGACAGGCTTGAGCTCGTTGATGTACGACTCGTACTGGCCCTTGTTCTCGACCTTCTCCTTGACACCCTCAAGGATGCGGACGGCGGTAGCGTAGTCGTTGACCTTGCGGGAGGCACGGAGGGCAGCCTCGACGACCTCGGTGGAGGGGACAAGGTCGTAGGCGAAGGCGTTGTTGAGGCCGCGCTGGAGCTCAAAGAGGTCGGTCACCTCGCCAAAGAACTGGCGGTAGCGGGCGTTGAACTCCTCATACGACTCCTCGGCGTGGGTCGAGGAGAAGCGGACCGCTGGGGGTTAGTTTGGGTATGGGGTTGGAGGGGCGGAGGGAGAGGTGCAGCGAAAGGGTCGGTAAATGGCTCGGCTGTGAAATGGGGGAGGGGAAGGGAGGTGGCTCACCGGCGAAGGCGGCGGGGCGGGGGACGGCCTTTGCGAGGGCGGGGCGGGCGACGAAGCGGAGGGAGCGGGCGGCGAGCATGTTTGGAGGGAGGAGGGGGAGGATGATTAGGGAGGAGGAGGAGGAGACGATGAGTGGTGAATGAACGGTGTCGAGGAGGAGGAGGAGAGCAGCGACGAGCGAGGACGAGGGAAGGCCGGCTGGGGTCGGAGTGCCCATTAGCCAATCTCACTCGGCTCCATTTGACACTCCGTCCTCCCAGCCTCCAGTCCTGGGAGAAATATGTTTAAATAGCCAGAAATAATCACTCGTCATTAGCTTTCTGTATTCTCCACTTGACAACCCACGTGGCATCCTAATCACCCCTCCTCCAGGCAGGCCAGGCACCCCCGCTTCACTCAAAATTCTTTTGTTCTCCAGCCAAGAATTTGATCCCGCGGCTCGAAATCTTGCCACAGTCACTCACCCTCCCTCGCTCACCATCGCCACCTACTCAATCTCCATCTCCATCTCCATCTCCATCTAACCCACCACCATGCGTCTCGAACCATGCTACTGTACGTCGGTCTTGTGTGTCTCAATCTAACCCCAGTCTGCTCAGTTACGGTCTACCCAGGCCACGGCACCATGTTCGTCCGCAACGACGCAAAGACCTTCCGCTTCTGCTCCTCAAAGTGCCACAAGAACTTTAAGATGAAGCGCAACCCTCGCAAGGTCCGCTGGACCAAGGCCTTCCGTCGCGCCAACGGCAAGGAGATGGTTGTTGTGAGTTGCTTGAGCGCGCCGAGCGGAGTGAAGTGGCGCCCGGTTTGGAATGGCTGCGTGGGTGTACACCCACCTTCCTCGCACTCCAACCCGCCCACTCCTCCCCCTCCCCCCTCTATCCCCAACTGACCCCAGGACTCGACATACGAGTTCGAGAAGCGCCGCAACGTGCCTGTGCGCTACGACCGGGAGCTCGTCGCCACAACGCTCGAGGCCATGAAGCGCGTCCAGGAGATCAAGAGCAAGCGCGAGAAGGCCTTCTGGAAGAACCGCATGTCGGGCAACAAGGCGCGCACGCTGCGTGAAAAGGCTGTCGACATTGAGAAGCACATTGAGCTCGTGCAGCCCCGCTCCGGCGGCGCCCTCGAGGAGAAGCAGGCTGCGCGCGAGAAGATCAAGATCCGCGCCGCCAAGCGCTCCGCCATGGCCGACGACATGCTGCGCCCCAAGAAGAAGCGCGAGAGCCGTCTCGTGCCCGCTGCGGGTGGCGGCATGTCGATGGGCATGGACGTGGAGTAGGCAGGGGAGCCGAGTGGGGTTGGAGCCGAGCCGCTTTATAGGCTTAGAGGGACGGGTTGCGCTCATAGCCTTGTTGTACCAATGCATAGATCTGCCTGAGGAATTGGAGTAGGTGGCCGTGGGTGGGTTGGTGCTGGCCACCTCTTGAAAGCTCACGGTCGCGAGGCAAGTCATCTCTGTCCGTCTTCAGGCCGTCAACTCAACTCGGGGGTGCACAAATACCACTCACGTGACCTCAAAAGTTGCGGTGGAGGCCATCCTCCCATGCCCTCCATCATCTCCGTCGCACTACCGCACTTCAACCACCCCAACTACACCGCCATGCCCGAGATCAAGCTCCGAAACCAGCCGTTTGACGTAGCCTTCTCGCCTCGCGCGAGCGTGCTCTGCGCAGCCCTCCTCACCGGCGAGATCAAAGCGTGGACATACGACGACGCCGGCGCCACCACCACGGCCTGGAGTGCGCGTCCGACGAAACGCACTGCCCGCGCGCTCCACTTCTCGCCTGACGGCAACGACATCTGGATGGGCGGCAAGTCGGGCATCATTGCGTGCGTCCCCCCTCCCCCCCTTCTGACCGCAGACAGCTGGACGCGTCGACCGGCGCGGTCAAGTGGCACGCGGAGGCGCACGCCGCCCCCGTGAACCGCGTGCATGTCGTCAACCCCCAGCTCGTGGCGTCTGGCGACGACGACGGCGTCATCAAGTTCTGGGACGCGCGCGCGCCGTCCCAGATCCGCGAATATACGCAGCATTGGGACTATATTTCCGACTTTGCGTATTTCGAGGACCGGCGGCTGCTCGTCGCGACGTCGGGCGACGGACACCTCTCGGCCATCGATATCCGGCGGAACAAGGCCGAGCCGGCGCATCTCAGCGCCGACCAAGAGGACGAGTTGTTGAGCGTGTGCCCCATCAAGGGCGGGGAGAAGTTTGTCGTCGGCACGGGGCTCGGCGTGCTCAGCGTGTGGGATAGGAGTAAGGGGTGGGAGGATGGGGTGGATCGCATGCTGGGACATCCGGCGAGTGTCGATGCTGTTGTTGCGCTCAGCGAGGATATCGTCGCGACGGGGAGCGAAGACGGCATGGTCCGCGTTATCCAGGTGCAGCCGAATTCGTTCCGTGAGTATAATTGGGGCGTGGGGGTGGTTGTAGGATGGAAGAGGACACTAGAATGCTGACACCAGTCGGCGTTATCGCTACGCATGACGAGTACCCCATCGAGCGGCTCGCGCTCGACCGCTCGGCCAAGTGGCTCGCGAGCGTGTCGCATGACGAGTGCATCAAGCTCACGGACTGTGAGGGGATGTTCGAGGACGACAGTGGGGCGGAGGATGTCGAGATGGGTGATGAGGAGGAGGAGGGCGATGCCGCCATGGACGAAGACAGTGAGGACGACGACTCGGACAACGAGCCCGCACAAGCCGCACCGGTCGATTGGGGATCCGACAGCGACGACGACAAGCCGCAGCGCAAGAAGAAAGTCAGGAAGGGGCAGCACAAGGTCGGCAAGGAGCGGGTGAATGAGGAGGCGGGGTTCTTTGACGACCTCTGACGTCCCTCTCTTCCTCCGCCATCTCCCCTCACCCTTCCCCATAGATCTAGATGTATGCATGATATAACGTACAGTGGTGATGCAACTACAATGCCAGCCTCTACACCTACTTGGTCGGCAAGCCGATGGCGCGCCGCTTGCGCTTGACGTCCTTCTCGAACCGGCTCTTCTTGAGGCCCCTGCGCGGCGCGGCGTCTTCTGCTGCGCGCTTCGCGCGCCCCGTAATCCCCTCGCGCATCCCGAGCGCCTGCACCCCCGTACTATCCCAGACGCCCTTACTCCCGCGCTCGCCCAGCACGCCCTCGAGCTCGGCCTCGAGGCCGTTCTGACGGCGCGAGCGCCCGGCGCCGCCGACGCCAAAGCCGAGCGCAAGCGCCTCTTCGTCGTCCCGCCGCCGCTTGGCCTCACGCTTCGTCGTCACCAGCCGCGTCATGTTGTCCTCCTCCCACGTCGCGAGACGCTTGAGCTCGGCCGCGCGCTTCGCGCTCACCGAGTTGCTGTGGGCGCCCGCGAGGACGGGGCGGGTCGACAAGCCCGATGTCGTTTGCACGGTGGGCGCGCCGTCCATCGTCTGCGCGAACTCGGAGAGGAGCGCGGGCGCGCGCCGCTCGCGCGCACGCTCACGCCCAGGCTCGTTGTAGGGCATCGCGGCGACGCGTGGCGGGCGGTAGACTTCGTCGTCGTCGGTCTTGGCGGCGGCAGCAACCTTCTTCTCCGTGCGCGCAGCGGTCACCATCGCGGACGGGTTCGGGCGGAACGATAGCGGGTCCTCCTCCACCTCGTCTTGCGGCTTGTTCGCCGCCTCGGCGAGGCCCACGAGCTTCTTCACTTGGTACTCGAGCTTGCTCTCCATTCCGCGCACCTTGTCCATGACCTCGTGGCAGAGGGCGAGCTCGCCCGCGAGTTCGTCCTCCCACACAGCATCTTCGGGGCGGGTACGCCCCGCCGCGAAGGCGGAGGCGAGGGCAGCGGATGACGATGCGTCGGGCTGCGTCTGGCGGAGAGTGGAAAGGCGCAGGCCAACGAGCACAATAAGGTGGTGCAGGCCAGAAAGGAGGAGGTGGGGGCGTACAAGCAAGAGCGAAAGACCAGAGGACAGGTCGAGGCTCTCGTCGCCCGCCTTGGCCTTCTTCAGCAGTGGCCGGGCAGCCTTGTCGGTCGCGGACACGGCAGTCTGCAGCGTGTCGAGCAGCTTCATGATCTCCGATGCGGAGGGCACCTCGCGCTCGCTCTCATGCCCGCTGTCGCTCATCTGCGGTCAGCGCCTGTGCGAAAAAACAAGTGGCGCCACGGCATATTCTCAGTCGCGAGGTTTCTAGGCTCGCTCCACGCTACTAACGTGGAAAGGCGTTCTAATCTCGGGTTTTACTCAGTGCCCAGTGCGGTAGCATCATTGGCCGTGGCGTGTGTGGGAGGGATGGAGATCGACTTACTTTTGTGGATGGAGTGGGAGGTGGTGAGAGCGAGTTGGGAGTTTGTGCAACAGATCAAGATTTGAGGAATGAAATTTGCTTCCGCTTCATCCATGTGGCGGGGCGAGAGATTCTGTGCCATGTCGTTCACCCCAGTGATGAAGCAAGTCGCGCGACCGCCGGCACATGCAACCATGCACACACCTGCATACTTGGGAGTGAGAGGAGACAGCCAGCTATTACCAGCAGCCAGGACTTTGTCGCTGCTGCGTTGAACCGGGCACGTATTCAACACCCTGCCCAATGCCGCCCCGTACAATGCCACCCGCCACCGTCAGGGCCGAGTTGCACCGATGCCGATGCCGCCGGACCATCCCCACCCCCGTACAGTCTTGGCAGACCCGCAGACCCGTGCCAGTAGAAAGCGCGAGAGCGTGCTCAATACGCCGCCGCCTCGAATAGTACTGCTGAGAAGTGGTGCTGCATGCAAAAGGTCGTAGTACAGTACTGGTATTACTGGTGTACATGCTCCGCCTGGTCCGCCCTGGCCGCGCCCAGCGGCGGCAGCCTCCCTCCGCTCACTTATGTCCTTCTAAGCCCTGTCTTTGGGGCCGACACCAGTGCCGGCTCTTACTCCATCTGCACGACGCCGACCTGGGCGGGCACGAGCACGCGCTCCTTGATCATCCACCCCTCCTTCTGGACCTCGATAATCTCGCCGGGCCCGCGCTCGCTCCCGTCGCTCTTCTTCGGCGCAACCGCCGCAGGCACCTGGAAAATCGCCTCGTGCGAGTTCGGGTCGAACGGCGTGCCGACCAGCTCGCCCATCGGCGTGATCCCGTTGTGCGCGAGCGTCTGCAGCAGATTCTTGCGTGTCAGCTCCACGCCGTCATGCAGGTTCGCGAGCGCGCTGCCCTTCTCGATCGGCTTCGGCGTGTGCTTGAGCGCTGTCCCCAGCACGTGCGTCGTGCCCACGAGCTCGCGCGCAAACTTGGCAATCGCAAAGTCGGTCGCCTTCGCCCGCTCCTCCTGCACCCGGCGCGACATGGTCTGGTAGTCGGCACGGAGGTACTGCATCTCCTTCTGTCTGTTAGCGTTTCCAACCAAGGGGTAGAGAAGCTGGCGAGTGTCTCGAACTGCACGCTGGCCCACGCACCTCCTGCTCCTTGACCTTGGCCTCGAGCTCGGCGATCTTCTTCGTGTTCTCGTCCTCCTTGGGCTCCTCCTTCGCAGCCTCGGTCGAGTTGAAGCGGACGGCGAGGGCGGCGCGCGCGGCACGGGGCGCGGGGCGCGCGACGGCGGCGCGGAGGCTGGAGGCGGCGGAGCGGGCGAGCATGGTGCTAATGGTGGATTGGAAGATGATAGAAGAGAGAGTTGAGAAATCGAGAGTACTCGTTGTCTGGAAAAAGTCCAGGGGCAAAGTCCGAAGAGCCGATCTCCGGAAAAACCCAGGTCCGGGGTCTAATCGGCTATTATCAGCGGAGCTAATGCGCCCAGAGCGACATGTGACCGGCACATACAAGCATCGAGCAACGTGATGTGACATGATGACTACCATGCATCTATCTAAGCCCCCCGCTGCGACGTCTTGAACGCCTCGTGCAGCTTCTCCTGCACCTTGCGCTCCTTGGCGAACTTCTTGCTCTGGCCCTTGGACACCTCAACCCCCTGCCCGTCGTGCGTCGGCACGCCGGCGTCGTCCCACTTCGTCCACGTGCCCTCGGGCACGTTGGGCGGCTTGAACATGTCTGCCGGTGCAACGCGGCCCTTCTCCAGCTGTGCCAGCCGCTTGGCCTCCTCGGCCTTGCGCGCCGCCTCCTTCTTGGCCACCTTGTCCGCCGCAGCCTTAGCCTTCTCCTCACGCGCAGCGCGCAGCACAGCGGGGTCCACGAGTTTGTACAGCGCAGCGCCGTCCTTGCCCTGCCCGTCCTCGAGCTGGACGCCAAGCTCGACGAGGTCATTGTCACGGAACGTGTCACACAGGCTCAGAATGTCCTTTGAGAGCGCCGCGTCGCCCTGGATCGCGAGGCGGCGCACGTCGTCACGGAACGACGCGATAGCCCGGATGTACTTGTCCAGCTGAGCCTCGAGGTCGGCCCCGGCGCCAGAGTCTCCCTCCTTGCCCCACCCGATCGCGCCGGCCGAGGCCACAGCAGGCCCCTCACCCAACCCGAACATGTTGAGCATGCGCGTGATCCACTGCGCAATGGTGCGGACAGGCTGAATGTTGTAGTCGGCGCCGCGGGCGCGGAAATAGATGTTGACCGCGCCCACAAGGTCAAGAAGCACATTCAGCGCCTGGGCCGTGTTGAACGAGTCACAAAGCGCAACACGGAAGTCGTGCTGCGCCTTGTGGTAGTCAGCAAAGAGATTCTTCTCCAGCTCGTCAAAGTGGTGCTTGCCGTCCGAGTCATCGCCGTCGCCAACACGGGCCGCAGTTTCAGAGATACGGGCCTTGACGTTGGCAAAGAACTTGTCAAACGACTCCTCCTTGGTCTTAACGTCTGACACGAGGTCTCGCCTGAAGTCCATGCGCGAGTTCCATGTCTGGAGCATGAACGCCAGTCGCAGCTGGCGCGCGCTGTAATCCCTCAGCGCCTCGTCGATGGAGATGAAGTTCTTGAGCGACTTGGACATCTTCAGACCCTCAATGTGCAAATGCCCCGTGTGCAGGAAATAGTTGACCCACTGCCTGCAGCCAAGCGCGGCCTCAGACTGGGCCAGCTCGTTGTCGTGGTGCGGGAACATGAGGTCGACACCACCGGAGTGGATGTCCATGCCGTCGCCGAGCACAGCCGATGCCATCACCGAGCACTCGATGTGCCAGCCGGGTCGGCCCTCGCCCCACGGCGACGGCCACGCTGGTTCTCCGGGCTTGTACGCCTTCCAAAGCGCAAAGTCGGCTGACGACTTCTTCCCGTGCGAGCCTGTGAGCGCACCCTCCCCCTCGTCAAGCAGCTTGCGGTTGCCCTTGGACGACGGCTGGAGCTTGGCGTACTCATGGCGGAACCCGTCACCCTCGGCGCCCTCAAACTTGTCGACGTTGAACCACACGTTCCCTTCTGACTCGTACGCGAAGCCGTTGTCGATGATCTTCTGGATGAAAGTGACAATCTCTGGCACGTATTCGGAGACACGGGTGACCAGGTCAGGTGGCAGCACCCGCAGGCGCTTCATGTCCTTGAAGAACTCCTTCTCCCATTTTGATGCGAGGGCGCGCGACACCTCGACGAGATTCGGAATCGACGCGCCCTTGGTCGCGCCAAGGTAGGGACCAAGCACGTCGGCCGTGCCTTCTACAAGGTCCTTGGTCGACCCCTGCCCCTTCTCAGCGGCGACAATGGCATCGCGCGCCTTGCCCAGCGACGTGATGTAGAGCGCGAACTTCTCCTCTTTCTCGGTTCCAGCGGCGACAAAGGCGGCGTCCCCTGCGGCCTTCTTCTCGATAGCGCCAAACTGCGTTAGAGCATCGTCGCTGCCACTCTCGACTGGCGAGGGAAGGTTTTTCACAAGCTTGGGAAGGTACTGTGCGAACGCCTCGCGCGCCTCCTTGATCAGCTCGGGGGTGACCTTGGAGTTCTGCTCGATGGTCTGGGCGAGAAGATATCCCTCACGTGCGCGCATAATGATCTGGCGTCAGCGGGTGCGAGAGGCGTGTGCGCAGAGTCGCACCTTGTCGTCAATGTCGGTAATGTTCATGACAAAGTTGACATCGTAGTTGAAGTAGTCCTGCAGGATGCGGCGGACAATGTCCTGGGTGAGGTAATTGCTTGTCGTCAGCTTGGGCTGAGCACTAGAATTCTCACCGCGCATGGCCCATGTGGGTGGCATCGTACACGGTCGGGCCGCAGTTGTACCAGTCCACCTGGCGGCCGCGGGAGGGGACGAAGACGTCCTTGGAGCGGGTGAGTGAGTTGAAGACACGAAGGACGGGATCTTCAACAGAGGGCTCAGGCTTGTACCACTTGGGCATCGAGGTGGATGCCGAGGTGGACATTGTGGCGATTAGAGTGCGCGATGGGAAGGACGACGGGGTGCGGAACAAGTGAGTGGGGAGAAGGGAAGTGAGTCGCCTCGAGGCCATAAATGTGGCCGTTTTGTGTAGCACGATGGCGCAATGACACTTGCGGAGCGTCGTGGCGAGACGAGGGGGATCGAGCGGAGTCGAGCGATGGGGGTGAGAGGGAGAAGTAGAAGACAATAAAGTCGGGATTGCCGTTGAGACTGGACGACTCGAAATGGATGGATATCGAGCACGTCAAATGCCTTGGGCGATCCGAAACAGCCGACTGAAACCGCAGGCCTATTCACCCCAATGACCACGCGACCATCGCATGCGCGCCACGCCTAATTGGAAATGGTGGAGGATCGACGGCGGCCTCCACTTCTGGCGGTGCCTGGGAGATCGAGAGAGCACTGCTGGGTGAATGACACGCGACACTACGTGGCCAACAGAATACCATCCCAAGTCATCTCTCGCCCTCTCCACAACTCCGACATTGTCATCCATCGCATCTACATCTCCACGCTCCTCATCGGCACTCGCAACGACTTTTAACGGCCAACGTCCTCGCAAACGCGCTGCGCGCGGTTCACTTCATCCTCCATTCCTCCTCCGCATTTCCAGCGGTTCCCTTTTGCCCTCCACCCTTCACCCTTGCACCATCTCGCCGCAATGACGGTCCGCTCCGCCGTCTTCGCGCTTGTCATCGCGCTAGTCGCCCTTCTCACACCAGTCCATGCAGTCAAGTTTGACTTGATCGCCGGCGGCGGTGGTGAACACAGTGAGCTCCCTCTTCGTCGTATCTGTTGGTCGATGTGCTGACGCCGCCTCTTCCCCCCGTGCTCTCTTGCTTTTGACATCTCAGACTGGTGAGTTGTGCCAAATGCTACAAGGCAAGCCCTTGCTAACCACAGCGTTTGGAACTTTGCACCCGCAGACACCCTGGTGGTGGTAACGGCGATTGTCCAGCCCTCCCCCGGAATGCGCGTCGACATGAGCATTGTGGACGGTTCTGAGCATGGGCGAATCTACCAGACCAAGAAGGTGAGCTTTTCAGTTTGGCGCAGCTAACAACAGGACTTGAATGGCGAGACCCGTGTGGCGTTCACGACGCACGACGAGGCCGACCTCGGCGTGTGCTTCTCCAACCTGATCGTCGGAGACACCCAGGGCAAGAACGCGCGCGCCGTCGATCTCGACATTGACATCGGTGCCGAGGCCGTTGACTACAAGTGAGCCTCCCACTTTGACATTGCTGACCTTTTAGCGCGATCGCAAACCACGAGTCGTTGTCATTGATGGAGGTTGAGATGCGCAAGCTCGAGGCGGTCGTGCGAGAGATCGTCGACGAGCTGGGTTACCTCCAACGCCGCGAGATGAAGATGCGCGACACCAACGGTGCGTCTTCGAGCAAGGCTAGACTGACGGAACAGAAAGCACAAATGACCGCGTCAAGTGGTTCTCGATTTTTATCACGGTCGGCATTGTCGCGCTCGGAGCATGGCAGCTCATCCACCTGCGGTCGTTCTTCAAGCGCAAGTATCTCATCGACTAGGCTGTTATGACTACCGTGTAACGAGTTGGAGGATGTGGAGCAGAGCGTGTGCTGGGGACGTTGGTTGTGGAGGTGGAAAGGGGATGGCCACGGTGGCATCATGGGCGGGCGGTTGACTCACCTCGTCTACCTTCCTCCTCCCTGCCTACTATCACTGATTCGCTTCTGATCCATCTTGACATTGCTCTCATCTCTCCGCCTGCTCTCTCTCGTCTTTCCCGGCCTCTTCGTCATCGCATCTCTCCCCGCAACGCGCTCGGCGCCTCTCATTCTCATCACCGCCATTCTACTGACATTGCTCCTCTCCTCTCCCCCACATCTGGTCCCATCCTCCTACTCCCCAGCTTCTGGCCTCACCTTCCCTCCCTTCACCTATCAACATGTGCCCACCTCCGACGGACAGCCTGGACCGCAGCCAGTCCCACGAAGACGACTTTGACAACATCGACTTTGAGCAGCTGTCGCACATGGCCTCACAGCTACTCAATTCGGATGACGACAAGGAGAACGGCGCCTTCCCCGTCACTCAGCTCGCCCAGACCCCGCGCTCTAAACACCCACACCCCGATGGCGAGGAACTCCACGCGCCGCGTACACCTGTCAACTCCGAGATGCCTCGCACACCCCGCCGTAGTAACCAGGGTGATGGAGCCGATGGAGCATCCCTCGCCGCTACGTCAGAGCTCCTGCAACAGACTGGCTACCAGTCACCGCCCCCACCCCCGCCCCCTGCGTTCCGCCCTCCGAACCAGAGTGCGGACAGTCGCCCTCACTTCACGGGAACCTTGAAGCGCAAGTATGAGGACATCCAGGACAAATCGTACTTCCCGGAGGAGGTCAGCACCTCGCTGACAGACGAAATCGATGACTTCACCGAAATGACTGAAAGCTTTGACCCCACCGAGGACGTCAGTAATGTTGATGCCTTCAATTGACATCAGGTGATCCCCTTCGAGTTTATCAACCTGCCCAATGACACCTGGGACCGCCTGCAGGACGAGCAGAAGGAGCAGATTCGTCGTGAGTGTGATGTCCGCCTGAGGCCATTTGACCTAGCAGGCTTCCATGATCAGATTCTTCACGCGAGGAAGGTGGCCCCGCTTGTCACTCTGACCATTGTAGCATGACTATGTCTATCAATGTCACACACGCCCTCTTCAACTCTAACGAGGCTACCCGGAACAAGCTCGTCGCGTCGATCAACAAGATTAAAACTGAAGAGGACAAGCACCGTGCGTGCTGTACAAGGAGGGCTGACGAGTAAGGCCAGAATGTGATGCAGTTCCGCCGCTTCGCCGAGCTCCTCGACTCGGGAATGATGGCGCTGAGTGGATTGGGTCACGAACGTGAGGGCGGCCCGGGTAGCAGCACCGGTGGTCCGCAGGGCGGCGAGCGCGCTCCTCGCACCATGCGTGGGGCCAGCCGTGCGCCGCGATAGAGGGAATAGATTCATAATTACTGAACACGCATAACGAAGACAGTTAGAGCAGTGTACACACGTAGTGGTACACGAAAATACACTGATGCATGAATCTAGAGTCTGAGTAGGTCTGAGTAGGAGAGAGAGTTGACCATCTGACCGTCTACAGTCGTCTAAACTGGAACGCGCTAGGCCTGAATCGAGACTGCCATTTCCCACCCTGGCTGCATCAAGTAGCCATTCAACGGAGCCACTGCGGCCTCGGCCTCTGCGCGCGACCCAAACAGTGCTCGGAACGACTTTGCGCCTGTGTTCGGTGGGGGGTGCGACGACGGCACTGGTCCAGAAAAGACAACCGCGCGTGTAAACCCAGGATACTGGGAGAAGAGGGCGCCCATAATGTCCTCATTGCACTCTGCGGGAAGATTTGTGCACACGACGGCGATGCCCTCGCCGGTGACTGGGGTCAGCGGGCGTGATGTGGTGGTGGATAGGGTGGATGATATGCTGATTTCTTCAGATGCCGTGCTTCCGGTCGCGTATCCCCACGCCGCACTCACCATCCTCATCGTCCTCCATCTCAATCTCCATATCGTCGTCGTCCTCGATCTTGGCACGCTTAGCTGTCCGGAGCTCCTCGCCTTCATCCAGCGGCCGCTTCTCGTTGGCAAGCTGCTCATACTCGCCCCGGGCCGAGTCCAACACTCCCCGCGCAGCCTTGATCGCAATCGCCTCCTTGCTAAAGGTAGGATCATCCAGCGCGAGGGTAGCATGTGACGCCGTGCGCGCGTACGTGATGTTCTGGTGTCAGCTTACCGGTCCTTCATCCCTATTCCCTCGTCCCTCGTCCATCAACCCTTCCTCGCGAAATGAAGACGTGGGCGAAACCCGTCCGCGTGACTCACCAACGCGCGCTCGTAGAACTGCTCGCCGGAGAGGGCGCGCAGCGCAGCGGTGGCGCTCGCGACCTCGTCATACACGATGAACGCTTGGCCGCGTCCGCCGTCGTGCTTTTTGGCCACGACATCGATCCTGGGGTCAGTTATGCGGGATGTGCGAGACGCACACTCTGCCGTAGGGGGTGAAGAGGGCGTAGAGCTGTGACCGGAGTTCGGGCTTTTTGGTCTTTGTGGCAAGGTTGCCGACGAAGAGGGTGGGGGAGGGGGTCGCGTACGCCATGGTGGCGTGGATGGGGGAGGATTAGGGCGGGGACGACGGGGGACGAGTACGAGGGTGAACGATGGACGATGGACGAGGACGAGGACGAGGACGAGGACGAGGGTGACTTTGTGGTTGTGGACATCATATCGTTCTTCTATTCGGCCCTCCCTCTGAGTGGATGTTGTGTCGCGTGGGATTGCGTAAATCAGCGTGTCATTGGGAGCAACGTGAGATTAGGTAACTCGACCTGATACATGGGGAGCCTGCCAATTTTGGGGGATGGTAATGTTAATAACGTGGACTGATTACACTTTCTAATGGCGATGAAATGCCGTAGTAATGAGTCGCGGAACAAGTGGTGCCTGAAACGTGCCTCACTCATTGGCGTGATTCCGGCGCGGCTAGCCCGATCTCTCTCTCTCTCTCCTGGGGCTGCGAGCTGCCAGCTGCCAGCACGACAGTAATGCACCCACTCTCATTGCTAGATCGAGCCCAGGCATTGGGTCAACGAACAAGACGCGTATGATAGCGAGGGATGCAGTGCCAGTCGCGTGGAAGCCTTGTCCTGGGTCGGGAGCAAGGCGGGCGGGACGTGTCGTGTCGCGACGGAGGGAGAGGATATTTGAGGATTACAGCCCCCACTGTGTTGCCTTCCTCCTCATATTCCTCATAACCAAAGTCTTCTCTCCTCCTCACTCCTCCTCCATCTCGCCGCGAAAACTTGCTCTTGTCATCACCACATCCTCCCTCCCCATCATCTCCCCTCTTCTCAACAATAGACGCTAGACGGCCCCGCTAATCCACCGCCACCTGAACAGGGGCGGCCTCCTCTCACCGTCGCCCAAAACAAGGCCCTCTCCTCCGCAAGCTCCGCCCCCCCCCCCTCACCCCTCCGCCCTCCCCTCCTCCCCTCCTCCGCTCCCGCCTCCCGCCTCCCCGCCGTTCACATCTTCACCTCCCATCCCCTGCCCACCATGTCCGCCCTCTCCGCCTCCTCCCTTCCCCCACAACTACGCCGCTTCGTCTCCCTCTCCTACCCCGTCGGCGGCGGGCTATACGGCAAAGGGCGCGACGACTTGCTCTTCGCCACGTCCTGCGCCGTCGTATGGACATTTCTTCGGCACGTCTGCATGAACCACATCCTCGCGCCGCTCGCAGACGCTGTCATCCCAGAAGAGAAACTTCCCAAGGGAGCAAAGGGCGCCCTCCTCCGGCACGAGCAGCGGTTAGCTGCCAAACGGCGGCAGCACAACGTTGCACGCTTTGCCGAGCAGGCCTGGGGGATGTTGTACTGTGGAGTCTTCTTCACGCTGGGCGTGGTGAGTCTACCTTTTCTCTCTCCTTTGCGTCGGCCATCACCATCACGGAGCTGTCTTGGCGTGATCGCCGCGGCTCCGTCGATCACACGGATCCGACATTTGCCGTTGCCCGGTCAAATTGAACTCCTCCGCTGACCACCACCAGATCATTCTCCGCCGTATCCCAAATGCGCTCAGCCCCGAGCAGGTCTGGGGCACATACCCATACACGCCTCTCCCTTACCTCACCAAATGGTACTATCTCGCCCAGCTCGGCTGGTGGTTCCACCAGGTTTACGCCATCAACACGGAGAAGCGCCGCAAAGACTACTGGCAAATGTTCGGGCATCACTTCCTCACGATCGCCCTCATTGTCGGCTCATACGCGGCAAATTACACACGCGTCGGCGTCATTGTCCATGTCATCATGGACACGGCCGACATTTTCCTGCCTGTGAGTGGTGTTTGTTGTGCGAGGAGGCGAGGACAGTGGCACATGCGGATGTGGGGGCGAGAGGTTATTCGCCTCTCCGCGCTGCCTCGCACTGGGCCTGGACCAAACGGTACAGCGCTGACGACCAGCTAGCCAAGCTCCTCCGATACATGGACTTGCGTCAGGCATGCGACGTTACGTTCGTCGTCTTCCTTCTTACGTGGATCGTGACGCGCCAGGTCGGGCTCTTCCTCGTCATCCGGTCTGCGTATGTCGAGGCACCAAAGTACATCCCTTTCAAGTGGGCGCCCGAGGAGGGCATCTACCTCACCAAGCCGATCTACTACGGCTTCGTGGCGCTCCTCAGCATCCTCTTGGTGCTGTGCACCATGTGGTTCTACATGGCCATCATGGTTGCCGTGCGCGTCGTGACCGGCAAGGGAGCCGAGGACGTGCGCTCGGACTCGGAGGAGGAGGACGAGATTTCTGTCGACGGGGACGAGAGCGACGCGTCGAGCATCGCTGGATTTGCGAACGGGGTGGCCAGCGGGCGCGCCACCCCAAACGGTAACGGGTACACGAACGGACACGCACACACGAACGGGTTCACCAACGGGCACTCGCCTGCGTCGAGTTTTGGCTCGGCCGCGGGCCTCAAGCACCGCAAGTAGACACCTACATGTATCTTTGCATCGCGCGTCGGGGTGGGCGCACAGACGCGCGCGACGGGACGCGTTGTTGCGCGTACGCGGTGACTCGAGCCGTGTGTGATCGCGGTGCGGCATTGCACGGGCCAGCGGCTACGCGGCTGGTTGTGGATCCGTGATCCGTGATCCGATGCATGGGGCATGACAATGCTCCCTTGCGCCATGCCATCTTCCATCTTCCGATCAGGCATCACTTAGCGGATCCGGTTCTCCGGGCCAATCTTATCTGCGCCACTTCTGCATCGGGCTATTGACTTCTTCTGATCTTGCGATGCGAGCTGCCCGCCGAACTCACACCCAACACATACGCCCACTGGACTATCCCCGGCGCGCCTCGTTCATCGCGTGCCCGGCCCGGAAGACGGTCACGATCCAGCAGGCATTGCACATGATCCACGTGGCGGAGCGGAGGATGCTCCAGCGCCCTGTCGTCTTGACGTACAGCACGACGTAGACCGTACGGAGGAGGACGTACAAGCACACGATCGTGTTCATGTACCATGCCTCGAGACCGGCGGTGTTTCCGGCGACCTAGTGTTAGGCGTGGTGGGATACGGTGCCCGACAGGCCAAGAAACGGCACGCACTCACCACCGCAGCACAGAAGATACCCAGCCCCTCGATGCAGTTGTAGTGCGCTGCCTGCCGGCGCTGGAGCTTGGCGAGGACGGCCGCGCTTCCCTTGCCCTCGGCGACGTCTTGGGCTAGGCGCACGAGCTCTTGCCGCGGGCTCGAGTTGTCGCCGTACCCGAGGGACATGGTGCTGAGGCGCGTGCCGCTCAACATGGCTTGCACGAAGACGAGGAGGAGGAGCTCGTACGACGCATTGTATCCGCCGGGGACGGGGAGGGCGCGGCTGGAGTCAGCGACGCGATGCGGCGAGTTCGAACTCGGAGCCAGCGTGCAAGTGGAGCGACGCTTCGCCCGAACAGAAGCGTGGCACTCACTTGTCAATAACCATGATGTTCTTCTGGTGCTGCGGTGCGACGATATCTCCATGAGTTAAGTAGGAAGCGGCTGCGCGGCTGCCTACCATCGGCCCACCCGCCTCGTACGAGGCGGCATTACGAATGTGATGCCATCTCGCGCTTCTCCTGTGTCCTCACTACGAGGAGCTGGAAATAGATGGCACGTTTGATCGCGATGGGAAAGCATGTTCTGCGTGCTTGACCTGCACTGGGCCTCTGCCTCTGTCAAGGCCAACACCAACGAGTATGGCCCGATGCATGGCTCGCACGATTATTCCAGACGCCGATGGCTGGGTATCTCGTCAGATCGCGTTGAGAACAGGCACGGGGGTTGATGATCGGCCATGCCCGCCACAACGCCACCACGGGCCGGCGGCCGGCGACCGGCATCTGCCTCGTGCGTCATCAACAAACTCATCGCTCGCTCGTGTGACTCCATTCCTCACGACGCGACTGTTCTCCTTGTTCTCCTTGCTCTCGTGCTTTTGCTTGCTCTCGCTTGCTCTCGCTCTCGCTCGCTCCAGCCTGCAGCCAGCCCACGCTCCCCGCCCACCGCCATGACCCACGCCCACGCCCCCCCCTCGGCAGCAGGCACCGCCGCGCGCTTCGCATTCCACACCGCCGTCGTCGCATACATGCTCCACAGCTACTTGTCCATCGCGAGCGTGATCGGCAAAGCCATCGAGGCCGAGTACGGCGGCGACCTCCAGTTCCTGACCGTGTGCGGGATGATCACGGCCACGGTTGCCATGGGTCTCAGCGCCGTGCACGACCTCATGCCCTTTCCGGCGTTGCATGGCGCCAAGCGCCTGTTCGCGCTCGCGGCCATGCCCGTTGAGATCACCATCAGTGCTATATACGTGAGGATGGGGCGGTGCGGGAAAAAACGTCGCTAACACTAGTGGCCGCTGATCATCCTCGCGCCGCAGCTCATGCTCCCGCCCGACCTTGCGGCGGCGCCCGACGCCGACATCACAGCTGCGAGCGCCGACGCGCCCCTCGTCTTCCTCCCGCTGTGGATGGACTTGGGGCTGCATGCTGTCCCTGCTGTGTCGCTCATTATTGGTGAGTCGGTGAACGCATAGGCGCATCTCAGCTTCTTCGACGGGGCAGGTCATCACATCGATCTCTTCACCTCAATCGCCTTGGCCCTTTGCACGGCTCGGTCCGTCAACCAGCTGCAGCCCATCCAGCTTTCTCACTCATAGCCAGCCACGCCCCATTTCGCCGCGGCTGCTCCCCAGTTTCCCGCTCACACCAGACTTCTTCTTCCTCGAGCGCAAGTACCGCCCCCCCATGTCGACGTGGGTCGCCTTCGCCGTCGCCGCAACGTTCAGCACCGCATACGTCGTGTGGGTGGAACACTGCGCGTCCATCAACGGCCACTTCCCCTACCCCTTCTTGACGATCATGTCGTTCGAAGACCGCACAAAAATATACGCAGCGTCGGCGCTGTTTGCGCTGCTTGTCTTCCGCGGGCTGAACGCGCTGCACAAGTAGGCCCCAAGTAGGCAAGCCGTGTGCGATTGCCAGACCAGCTCACAGCCACGTGCCTGCATGCAGATGACCTCGCGGTCTCATGATCTAGACGATTTGGCTGAGACGGTGCGAGATCTCATTCCTGGCCCCGATCGCGCAGCTGATTTACTGATCTACAACTGACTTGCTTGAGAACAAAGCACAGACATGCCATGACTCTTGCAGCTCGATCCAGATTATCGCCTCATTATACCAATAACTCCTGCTTGTCTTGCCTCGTCTCGCCCCGTCTCACGCCGTCTTGCTCAAATGCATTCACGTCCTACTCACTTGACCAGCCCTTTCGCAATTGGACTAGTGCCCGATTCACTTCCGCCCGTACACTCATCACCCGCTAAATCACAATGAATACACAGGCAGACATCACCCTCCATTCACTGGACTCTGTCGCGTCTCAGCCTTAGTGCCAGCCTAATACCCCATCTCTTCACCTCGTCGGCACTCCTCGCCAGTCACCCGTGTGTCGCCAGCTTCACCGTCCACTCACTCTCCCCCGCCTCCCCCCCACACCTCGGCCCAGCTTCAACCGTTGTTCATCGCGCGACGCACATCACTCCGCACCCCCTTACATACGGCTTCTCGCCTGGTCGCGTCATGTCCCGAGTCCCTCTCGCACCATAGCTAGTGGTCTCACGCCCATCCCTCGGCGTCTGCGACATGAATTGATCAGCTGCCTCGGTTCGTGCACCTAGCTCACGACTCGACTCGACTCCGACGCTGAGCATCCCTCCAGTCCTCCCAGTCCTCCCAGTCCTCCCAGTCCTCCCAGTCCTCCCAGCCCCCCCCCCCCCCCCCCCCCCCCCCCCCCCCCCCCCCCCCCCCCCCCCCCCAGCACGAAATGGCATCACACATTGTTCATCGCGGTGCACGCGTGAGACATACATCTCCTCGCCCTCACACAGAGTTCACCGCCCAATCCACCAAACAACACTATCCACTCGCCCGCGGTCGTCGCCTGCATACATAAAGAGCAGAACGCGGACGACATGCTGCTCGTTCTCCACCGACTGTAGCCTACCCATCCATCTCTACCTACCTTCTACCCTAGCTGCACCTACTCTATCCTCTGCTCCGGCCATGTCCCACAGTCTCCCACCCGGTCACCCCTTCGCCGCCTCCATCACCCCCAACACGGGTGTGTGGACGGGAGCTCGCCCAACCCCCCTTGTGAACTGGGATGTCATTTGTCCCCCCTCCCAGCCTCGGGCTGAGCGCAAGCGTCCTCTGGGACTGCCCCGCATGTTCAGGTCCCGGTCGGTCGACGCGCCCCAGTTGGCGAATATCCAAACCGCCACAATTGCCCCGCCCCCCAAGGCGGCCAAGACCACCAAGCCGCCCAAGCGTGCCACAGTCGTCACACCTACACCCACCCTGCGAGTCTCGACGTTCTTCCACCCGCCCCCCGTGTCCGCCCCGTCTCCTAAGACCCCCGAGCAGCGCACAACCCCCCCTCGGAGGCTCGGCCGCCGCTCGCCCACGTCGCCGAGCTCTCCGGCCTCGACCAACATCCTCACCCCCCCGTCGTTCCTCAACATCCGCCATCTCCCCTCGCTCCCCAACCTCCGGCGCAAACGGCCTTATCTGGACATCCCGGACTTTGTTACCGAAACCTCCCCCCCGCCGGTCGGGTACGAGTGGGCGCCGCGCCACCTCGAGCAGATATTCCGTGAGGCGGCGACGCAGCCCGCCCCCGCACCCCAGGCCAAGCGCATCCCCGTTTCCGCCGCGCCCCTCGCGCTCGCAGTCACGCTCGACACCGAGTCCCCCGAGCGACCGGAGCCGTACGACTGCCGTGCTTCTCCCGACCCCCGTGCCGACGCCAACGCCAAGCCCGACAAACGCACGCGCCGCCACGGACAGATTTTCTCGGCTGGCTTCGCGCATGCGCTGCGCGGCAAAATCGAGAGCTCGGAGCGCGAGCGTGCCGGCGCCCACGCGTGCGAGAAGGCGTTCGAGGACGCGCTGCTCGTCGACACGCTCGTCTACCAGCGCGACATGATGGCGCGGCTCTGCACCCTCGGGGTTCTGTAACCCCACCAGTCCCGCCCGGGCGACACTGTCTGTATCACTACGCGCTGAGCGCTGCCACATGTCTGTGTGTCTGTACTTGTACACTATGCATTATAATCGTCACGATGTCATACCGGCAACGCCATTGGCCGTCGCGGGGCCATGTGCGCTTTCTAATGGAAGTGCACTTCCTAATGCCCTCGTAATGACACACCAAGTGCCACTCTGATCGGCGTTATAGACTTGAGCGAAGATGGTTGGTTTCCCGCGGTCCGTGGTTGGCCCTTCACCGTAGCCCTCGCCCGCCCTGCGCACCCCGCCGCTCCGAGCCACTGCTCTCGTCGTCGTCTCAGAGCATCCACTCATCGAGCGCACTCTCTCCATCACCATGCTCCGTCGGCTCGCGGCTAACCGCCACATCGCCCGCGGACCCGCCTCGGGTATGTCTTCCCCTCCCCCCTTCTCCTCGGCACCCTCCCATCTCGACTCGTTCGCCCACCTCGACACATCTCGACAGCCATCGCGAGTGACGTCTGGTCTCCGCGCGCGCGCTCGTACAGCAGCAGTTGTGCGCGCGCACATCTGCACTGCTCTTCGCGTCGTCTGCCACCCCTCCCCTCCCTCCCCTCCCTCCCCTCCCTTGCTCTCCCACTCCCATCTCGGCCGCAAGTTATCGCGCTCGCTCTCTCACCCCTTCCTCCGCGCCC